TCCCCAGCTGTTATTGGTCTGTTCAAGCTTTCTGTTTCTTCCTCCTTCAGTGTTGGAAGATTATACTTTTCTAGAAATTTGTGCATTTCACCAAGGTTTTCACATTTCTTCGCATATAATTGTTCATAGTAGTTTCTGACAATCCTTTGTATTTTGGTGGTATCAGTTGTTATTTCTCCTCTTTCATTTCTGATATTATTTATTTGGGTCCTCTCCCTTTTTTTCTTGATGAGTCTGCTTAAAGGCTTGTCCATTTTATTTATCTTTTTAAAGAACCAGCTACTAAATTGGTTGATCCTTTGAATTGTTCTTTCTGTCTCTTTGTCATTCAGTTCTCCCCTGATCTTGATTATTTCCTTCCTTCTACTTGCTCTGGGATTTATTTGTTGTTGTTTCTCCAGTTCTTGACGTTGTCGTCTTAGGTCTTTTATTTGAAATGTTTCTATCTTTTTTAGGTAAGCCTGTATTGCTTCCCTCTCAGGACTGCCTTTGCTGTGTCCCATAGGTTTTGGACTGTTGTCCGTTCATTTTCATTTGTTTCCAGAAACTTTTTAATTTCTTCTCTTATTATTGACCCATTCATTGTTTAATAGTCTACTGTTCAGACTCGATGTGTTTGCAAGTTTTTGAAGTTTCTCTTTGAGGTTGATTTCCAGTTTCAAGCCCTTGTGGTCTGAGAAAATGTTTGCTATTATTTCAGTTTTCCTTAATTTCCTGAGGCTTGCTTTGTGTCCTATCATATGGTCTATCTTTGAAGAAGTTCCGTGCACATTTGAAAAGAATATGTATTTTGCTTCGTTGGGATGTAATGTTCTATATATGTCAGTAAAGTTCTTTTGATTTAATGCGTCATTCGGCTCCACAATATCCTTATTGATGTTTTGTTTGGAAGATCACTCCATTTTTGACAGTGGGGTGTTAAAATCCCCTACTATTGGTGTGTTGCTGTCTATATCTTTTTTGAAGTCATCCAAGATTTTCCTTATATATTTGGGTGCTCCTATGTTGAGTGCATATAAGTTTACAATGTGTATGTGATCTTGGTAGATTCTTCCTTTAAGTACTATAAAGTGCCCCTCTGGGTCTCTTTTTATGTACTTTGTTTTGAAGTCTATTTTGTCTGATATATGTATTGCAACCCCTGCTTTCTTTCCTTGCCCATTTGCTTGGAATATTTTTTTCCATCCCTTTGCTTTCAATCTGTGTAGGTCTTTTGCTCTGAGGTGGGTCTGTTATAGGCAGCATACATGTGGGTCATGTTTTCTTATACATTCAGCTATCCTGTGTCTTTTGATTGGGGTACTTAGTGCATTTACACTGAGAGTTATTATTGATAGAAACTTATTTATTTTTTTCCTTTTGTACCTGTGTTTTTCTCTTTCTCACTCTTTTTCTTCATCATCTTAATCCAGTCCCTTTAGCATATCTTGTAGTGCTGGTTTTGTGGAGACATATTCTCTTAGCCTTCTTTTTTCTGGGAAATTCCTTATTTTCCCCTCTGTTTTAATTGAAAGCCTTGCTGGATAGATCAGCCTTGGTTGTAGGCCTTTGGTTTTCATTAATTAGAATATTTCTTGCCATTCCTTTCTGCCTTGTAGTGTTTCTGTTGAGAAGTCAATTGCTAGCCGTATTGGAGCTCCCTTGTATGTTACTGCCTGTTTCTCCCTTGCTGCCTTTAGGATTCTTTCTTTGTTTTTGATATTTGCCATTTTCATGATGATGTGTCTTGGAGTGGGCCTCACTGGGTTCCTCTTGAATGGGGCCCTCTGTGGCTCCTGGGCTTGTGTGACTTTTTCTCTCCTCCAATTAGGGAAGTTTTCCAGCATTATATTTTCAAAGAAGTTCTCTATGCCTTGCTCCTCTTCTTCTCCTTCTGGTATCCCTATTATGCGGATATTATTGTGTTTCAGGTTGTCTTGCATTTCCCTAAATGCCTGTTCATTCTTCTTGAGCCTTTTTTCCATTTCTTGTTCTTTCTGGGAGCTTTTTTCTACCTTGTCTTCCAGCTCTCTGATTTGATCCTCTGCTTCATCTAGCCTGCTTTTGATTACTTCTACTGTGTTGTTCAATTCAGAAATGGTGTTCTTCATATCCTCTTGTGTCTTCTTGATAGTTTCTGTATCCTTTTCCAAGTCGATATAGTTTGCCGTAAGTTCCTGGTAGTTTCCCTGTAGTTTCTCATAGTTACCTTTGAGCTGGCTGAGCTCATTGAGCTTCCTTAAAGCCATTGTTTTGAATTCAATATCTGATAGTTTGCTTGCCTCTATTTCATTTAGCTCTCTCTGTGGGGATTCCTCCTTTCCCCTCACTTGGGGGGAACTTTTTCTTCCCATTTTTTGAGGTTTTTTTTTTTTTTTTTTTTTTTGCTTATACTTCAATTGAGGCGTCTAGATTTCCTGACATTGTGGATTAAACTTCTATGGTGGTAGGCGGGTCTTTTATTTATTTATTTATTTATTTTTCTTTTCTTTCTGAGCCTGCCTCTGATGATGTCAGTTGTTGACCCTATCTGACCTTGGGTTGTTCGTTTGTGCCTTCCATGAATCTACTGCCTGTGTCTTTCCCTTGTAATTGTCAATCTGGTCACTCTGTCCTCATCTGTCAGGGTTAGGCACCAAAGGGCAGAGCAGTGCCTCCTGATGGCAGGCCTATTGTGTCCCTATAGGCTGCTGTCACTCAGGGGAGTAATCCACCTGAGCAAGAAGGAGAACATGGACTGGGGGAGGATTCAACACCGGGATTCTCCTGTTACTCCTCCAGTTCTTTCCCCAATGCCTCTGTCTCCAGTCTCTCCTCGAGGGTCTCTGGGCAGCTCTGTGACCCCTTCGGCAAGGGATCAACTATTTCTGCTGATCGCTCTGCACTTGCTCGCCGGCCCACCCCTGTGCTGGCCCGCGTTCGCACTCCCCAGCCACTTGAGAACGCACCTCTGCACTGGACTGTTTAGGGCTGTCTATTGTGTGCTTTCCCACTTTTGGCTCTTCGAGTGCGTGGCCTGCCCACGCAAAATGGAGACTATGGAAAGGGGAAGGAGTCAGCTCCGGGACTCTCCAGTCACTCCTCCAGTTCTTTCCCCAACGGCTCCATCTCCAGTTTCTCCTCAAGGATCTCTAGAGAACTGTGTGTCCCCTTTTGGCCAGAGATCCTCTATTTCTTCAATCCAGTCTGCACTCAGCCCCCAGCTCACACGTGCACAAGCTGTGTGCGGAGCACGCAAAAGGCAGGCTTATTGTTCTCTTCACGAAGTTTTCCTCACCAATCTTTCCTCAGGCACCGACCCGCTCTACTGCCGCCTTTACCCAGAGATCAAGGAAGGTGCCTGCCACTGCAAATTTTTGCGTTGGCCCTTTATATGCCTCTTTGCATCCCCAGCCGCCTGTCTCTGGCAGAGAGCGCCCCTAAGCTTTTCAGGGTTGCACTTTGTCTTTGCGTTCTCCTGGTTTCAGCTGCTGTAGTCTAGGGGTCCCTGTTTATGATTCAGACCCTGTTCTTCTCAGGGGGATCCAACTGGCCGTTTCAATGTCCCTCTGGTGCTGGTGCCTGTGGGCGCCCAGCCCACCCTCTCGAGCCTCCACCACACTTCTCACCCGTTCAGATGTGTGAAAGTTGATTACACTGTCTGTCCGCAGCTCCAAGCCTCCTCTCCCTCTATCGTTCCATTTTTTTTTCCAGGTGATTTCTCCACTATTTAGTCACAATTCCTGTTTGGTCTTGGGAGGAGGTCCACATGACTTCCATGCACTCCTCCACCATCTTTCTCCCTATCATGGATTTTTTTTTTTATGCTTTGGGTTATAATCCAGTACTACTTTATTTTGTTGCTTAAATCATTCCATCTGTAGCCATTGGGAACTCTTCCAGTTAGTCCTGTGCTATTTTCACATATACTCATCAATATCAATATTTTAAAAATATTTCCTGGCACTATAAAATGACTCAAGCTCCTCTTATGTATTTCCTGTGCCTAATCCTAGGATCACCCATTTCTCCAAGGAGTTCTGTTTCCTTTTATTGGAGAACAGTATTTAGAAACCAAGATCTGGGTGCTAGGTTTGATCATTACTACTGGGGTGTTATTGTTTCTAGACCCTCTCAGCTGACAGAGCAAGAATATGTATGTCTGCATACTTACCCATGCGTATGCACATCTATAAACCTTTCTATATGTTACCATCTGTGTATATACATGTATATATATGCATACATATATGCATGTGTATATATATTTTTAAGCTAAACATGATTCATACTGAGGCCTCCAACTCCAATCCATTGTCACATGGATCATTCTAGTGTTCTCCTATCTGTAATGTCCCTCTCCAACAGTGAGAATCCTTGCTTCTACAATCTACCATTCATGTACTTATTTGATCAATTCCAGTGCACATTCATTATTGTTTGTTACACTTGGTAATGTGTATATACCTGAAAGAAACTACATGCCCACCTAGATGGAATGATAGCTGTCAAATTCCATAGCAAGCACAGTTGGGCAGATGGCTCCACTTATGAGGAAGATTCTATTGTGAAAAGCTTTTCCCCAAAGCCTTTTCAGTTATATGTAATCAGAGCTACTAGTCTAGGGGGTAGGTGCTGTGGCTAGGGTGGGGTACCCTGAGTTGGCAAAATGCAGAGCAGCCTTTGTGAAACCTGGGGTTGGGTGAAAGAACTTAGCCCATTATCAGTGGAGCCTTGGGCTTTAATATTCTTTGTTGGAAAAGTCATACATAACATGCAGAAAGATTTTTGTAAGATTGTACTTTATGTTTCATACAGTTGAACCTTCAGACTTCTAGAGAACTGAAGGATATGGTGGAGATAAGTTGTTCGTGGAAGGATATCAGCTCAGTATATCTTTGGGAGGCTTCAACTCATTTCCTTTTGTGGTGTTACCTTCATGACACTGTCTAAAGGGAAAGGACCATTACAAGAGAGTATTTTAGTAGTATTTTGTTTCAGGCAAAGGTAATTAAATTAATTTTTTTTATTATTTTTTTTAGGATCTGGGGACCTAGAGGATACATGGAAGGAAACTTCCTCAGTGAAGCGTGAGTAGTAAATAAAAGAAACTATTAAAAGCAAAAAATAGCAATTAATATGCTTCACCCACTCAGAGTACATACTCGAGGAAAACAACAGGTGGCCTGTATTTCACTTGATCAGATAAAATATGGTTATCATAAATTATATTTTTAAAAGAAAATCTAAATATTTAAAATTCTCTTTCTTTTGTGGAGAATACCAAACAATATGTTATAACTGATACAGCACTTTCTCCGGCTCCAGTCACAGCACGTACTGGTGTAACATGCCAGCAGTGGCCTCCGAGGATTGTTTCCCCAGCTCAGAAAAAAGTACTTTGAAGTGAATAAGGGATTTGTTTCTCCTTTTAGATTTTTTTTAAAAAAATGGCTTTACTTACAATGGTGTCTACATGTAATCTCTCAAATACTAGATTTGTTACCAGTTTGTCTTTAAATTTAAAAAATATTTAAATAATTTTTTTAAAATGTATGAAGGCATAGAAAGGAAAGCTGAGATTTCCTTTTACCCCTCCCCACCCTACTAAAACCCACTCCCATCCCAATATGGAATTGCTGATTAGTTTTCTATGCTGTTATGTATATTTATATATGCAGTTTATTTTTTTGTTTTACATAAAGTGTAGGGCTTTTTTAATTTTGTTATATTTGTATTATTTCAGTTTGTTTTTTTTTATTAATATGTTTCAAAGACATGAATGAATATATCTATCTGTATTAGTTTCCTAGGGCTGCCATAAAAAAGTACCACAAACTGGGTAGCTTCAAACCACAGAAATTTATTCTTCACAGTTCTGGAGGCCAGACATCCAGAATCAAGGTTTTGACAGGACCACACTCCTTCTGAAGGCTCAAGGGGCAGGGTCTGGCTACTTCCAGATTCTGGTGGTAGCAGCACTCCTTGGTGTTCCCTAGTTTGCCACTGTGGCACTCCAGTCTCTGCCTCCATCTTCAAATGGCCTTCTCCTTTGTGTACCTTTTCCACTTCTGTTTCTTATAAGGACACTTTTTTTGGTTGGATTTAGAACTCACCTGAGTAATCCTGAGTGGTTTTATTCCAAAAACCTTAATTATTGGGTTGGCAAAAAAAATCCATTTATTTTTTTCTGTAAAATAAAAGACACATTTCTTCATTTTCAACAATAACTTTATTGATTTGCATATTTTGAGTACATCACCTATCTCCAGTGTAGTATAACGTTCACTGTTCTCAATTAATGTCTCAGTTTGACTGCTATCCACTTCAACTGGTCTACCCAACCATGGAGCATCATCCAGAGCAAGAAACTTCACAAACCACTTTTGACACTTCCAGTCAGTAACAGCACCTTCTGCACATATTACACAAATCAGTTTTTGCATTTCAGTTGCATTTTTACCTTTATTGAAATAATAAAGCATAAAATGCCAAAAGTGTTGTATATTTTCTTCCATCTTCAATATTAGAATGGCTCCACAGAAATTCACCAATTTTGATGTTATTTTTTAATGCATGCTGATATGACAGCTGTCACAATACAATCTAACAAAATTGTTTTGAATGAAGTTAAAGAAAACTAAGTGCTACTAGAGCCAAATTATGAGAAAAAAAAATGAACCTTTTGGCCAATCCAACTGCAAAGACCCTTTCTCCAAATAACATCACATCATGGGTTTTGGGGATTAAGACTCAGCTATATATTTTAGGGGCCAGCATTCAACCCACAGCATTATTCATATACGTATGTCTCAGACACAAACCTGTGCTTTGTGGAGCTGGCATTCTACTGATGTGGCTTTGGCCTTGGCCAATGATGCCATTTTCTTACTGGTGGACATGTGGTTTGTTTGCGTTTTGTGCAATTACAAATAGGGCTTCAGTGAACATTTATTGTCCATTTATTTTGTGCTCAAGTACAATGAAACCACAAGGCTGAACGGTATATGTATTATATATTTTAAAAGATTTTGCTAGGGGGATCCAAGATGGCTGCAGAGTAGCTGGAGCTCCGAAAGGTGCAGAGCCTTAGGTATTTGCCAGGGCGGGGCAACTCACATCCTTGCATTGTGGTGCTGTATGTGGGCAAGGGGTCAGCGGGGAAACAATGCTGCTTGCTCAGTTCTTGGCTGGCTTTCAGTCACCTCACCCGCTACCCACAAGCAAATGGGACCTTTCTTGTGCTTATTCCCGGGTGAGTGGGTTTGTGTACATCCTAGGACCCTGCGGGTCTCTCCAACGAATGCTCTTATGAGGCTGGGAGTTTCTCCCACTGAAGCAACCCCCAAGGTTTTTACAGCCAGAGGTTTTGAGGCTTTATTTCCTGCACTGGAACCCAGGGTTGCATGGTCTGTATCACTCCCCTGCTGTTCCTCCCAGTTTATCTGAGCACAAATTTGGGACCATCAGTTGCTATCTTGTCCACCCAGTCCACAAGCCTCTGCCTTGCTGCGCATCCTCTCCACCCTGGCTTCCCATCTCCATCCCCACTACCAGTCTGGATGAATATTTTTTCTGTAACTCCTTGATTGTTAGACTTTCTTACAGTTCTATTTTCTAGCAGTTGTGGTTGTTTTATGTCTTTAAATTTGTTGTCCTTCTTTTGGTTGTGCGAGGAGGCAAAGTATATCTACCTACACCTCCATCTCTGGTTTCTATTTTTCATTTTTTGAGGAACCTCTGTACTATTTTCAATACCAGCTGCACCATTTTACATTCCTACCAATACTGTACGATGCCAAGGGTTTCAATTTCTCCACATCCTCACCCACACATGTAATCTTTTTTTATGCCATCTTTTAAACTTTTAACTTATTTTTAATTTTTAATTGCCATTACTTTCAGTATTATTTAGTATTGGTTTCAGGTATACAGCATAGTGAATCCTAACAAGAGTGATGTGATATTTCATTTTGGTTTTGACTTTCATTCATCATCAAGGAAATGATATTGAGCACCTTTTCATATATGTGTTGGCTATTCCTATGTCTTGTTTGGATAAATGTCTAAGTTCATTGCCCATTTAAAAATGAGATTATTTATTTTTAGCTATTGAACTGTAGGGTTTTCTTACATGTTTTGGATATTGACCACTTATCAGATGCATATTTGCAAATATTTGTTCTCATATGATGTGTTGCCTTTTCATTATGGGGATTATTTTCATTGTTGTCCAGGAGATTTTTATTTTGATAGAGTCCCACTGGTTTATATGTGGTTTTTGCCTGTATTTTTAGTGTCATACTCAAGAAATCATTAACAAGGCTAATGTCAAGAAAGTTTTCTTCCTAGAGGGCCACATGGGGAAGGAGTGAATGGAAGTCACACTGACTTCCTCCAAGGACCAATCTGGAATCACAACTAAATTGTGGAGACATCACCCGGAAAAACAACTGAACAATAGCAAGAGAGGAGCCTTATAACCTTGAACAGAGAGAAGAATCAGCTTTAGCACAACCTGACAGAAAGCCAACAAAAACACCATAAAAGGCATCCAAAGAGCATCAAGTTCAGGAGATCAACAAGACAGCACCACTGAATATCACAAGTCTCCTACCATAGACGATCATGCCAAAAATCAGGAAATCAGCACAGATCAAGTTAAGAAGCAGAAGCCAACAAACCACACACAAAAAAAGAGTCTCACAAATAATGGGAGGACAAAGAAACAAAGCCTAATTGAAAGGAAAGGAAGAATCCCCAGAAAGAGTACTAAATGAGATAGAGGCAAGTAAACTATTACATACTGAGTTCAAAACAATGGTTATAAGGAAACTAAATGAGCTCAGTGAGCACAGTGAGAAAAATAAAAAACTACAGGGAAACTAAGAGGAACTTAAAACTACAAACTATATCAGCATGAAAGGGACATAGAAACTATCAATAAGAGGCAAGGGGAAATGAAGAATACAATTTATGAATTGAAGAACATAGTAGAAGGAATCAAAAGCAGGCTAGATGAAGCAGAGGATCGAATCAGTGATCTGCAGGACAAGGTAGAAAAAAATCTCCCAGAAAGAGCAAAAAAATAAAAAAGGACTCAAAAAGAATGAAGATGTCTTTAGGAAAGGAAGGACACTTAAAACATAATAATATGCAAATAATAGGGATACCAGAAGGACAAGGAGAGAAGGAAGGGTTAGAAAACCTGTTTGGAAAAGTAATGATGGAAAACTTCCCTAATTGGAGGAGAGGAAAAGTCTCACAGGTCCAGGAAGCACAAAGGGTCCCATTCTAGAGTAACCCAAAGAGGCCCACTCCAACACACTTCATAATTAGAATGGCAAATATCAAAGACAAGGAGAGAATCTTAAAGGCAACAAGGTAGCCCTAATAAGGCTAGCAACAGATTTCTCAACATAAACACTGCAAGCCATAAGGGAATGGCAAGAAATGTTCCAAGTCATGAAAAACAAAGGCCTGCAACCAAGGTGGCTCTACCCAGCAAGACTCTCAATTAAAATGGAAGGTGAAATAAGGAGTTTCCACACAAAAGAAGGCTAAGAATACACTGTCACCAAACCAGCACTGCAAGATATGCTGAAGGGACTGCTTTAGAGAAAGTAAATAAAAAGAGTGAGAAAGAGAGGAACACAGGTACAAGGGAAAATGAATAAATGCCTGTCAGTAGTAACTTTAAATGTGAATGGATTAAATGGTCCAATCAAAAGACATAGGGTAGCTGAATGGATAAGAAAACAAGACCTGCGCATGTGCTACCAACAAGAGACCCACCTCAGAAAAAAGGACATACACAGACTGAAAGTAAAGGGATGGAAGAAAATATCCCAAGCAAATAGACAGGAGAAAAAAGCAGGAGTAAAAATACTTATGTCAGACAAAATAGATTTTAAAAGAAAGGCCATAAAAAGGCACGGAAGGACAATTCATAATACTCAAAGGAAGAATCCATTAGCAAGACATAAACATTGTAAGCCTTCATGCACCTAACATAGGAGCACCAAACTATATAAGGAAAATGTAGGAGAGCTTCAAGAAAGAGATAGACAGCAACGCGTTTAAAGTAGGG